AAAACATCACTTGATTTTAACAAGACAATTATATCATCAAACATATATTATGATAAATTTTGTAAAAGATAAAAATGATTAGATATGAAGATATTTTTAATCATTCATTATATATTTACAATTCCTAAGATATGTAATAATGTCAAATCATTTAATTTCTGTTGAAATGTTCTTAAAACCTACTAAAATTTACTCTCTTTTTTTCTTCTTTTAGCAGTCGATTATTGAAAAGGTTGTTCAAAAGTTTAGAAATATTATTTATGCCCGCGCGAAGCGCGGGTAAGTTACCTAGTCTATATATAATAGGAGAAGTAAAAAGTGTAACATGTCAGCACCACAAAAATTCTCTATTTTTTGTTTTAAAAATTAAAATTTTAAAAAAATTTAAATCTGCATTACCTAGTAATTTTAAATTTTAATTTTAAAAATCAATATATATTTTAAACGAATTATTTTTAAAATGAAAAAGTTACCACGTTTAATATAACTCTTCTTTATTTTTATTTTTTTAAAAATAATTGTTTCTACAGGTGGCTAATATTTATTCTAATTAGAATTTTTATTTTTATCCTATGTATTTGGGAGTATAAGTGGGGTAATGGGTAAGTGGCCTGTAGTTTATTTTTCTTTAACTTAGTTTTTTCTTTTTTATCACTCGATAGATGACAGTTTAAATATTTATTATTAATTGTATTTATTTATTTTTAAAAGAAAATCAAATCAAACATATTAACATTCCCTCAATTAAAACATGAGGAATTTGTGTTTTTTTTTAATAATAGAGGACAAGAAATATGTTGCACTTTGTTATTACAAAATATTACAAATAAGCATTGTTTTTCAAAACTGATAAAAGAGGTCTTCTCTCTAATATTTCCACATAACCAAGTTGGCTTCTTCTTTTTTTGTTTTAATAGTAGCCATCAAACAAATAAAATTTTGAGAGCCATTAATTTTTTTAAAAAAAAAAAACTATAAATAAATTTAAAAAACAAAATTGTCAATTCAAAAGCATTGAAGCTGCTACCCACGGTTATAGCTATATAATATGGCTTTTAATCTTTTTATCTCAATCTCTTAATAATTGATTTTACTCTCTTTGATTCTCCATTTCTTGTAACAACCTGTTCCCGTTGTTATGGAAAAGCCAATATGAAAGAATTTGGGCCAGAAAACTTCTGAGTAGTAACTTGGAAATTTCTCGCTTAGGCCAGACTTGGATGAAGATGAAATCTGAGCCAGGTGAGGTCTAGGGAAATCTGGTAATGGATGGGGGATTTAATTATGAGTTTGATCACATGAGTTGATAGCCAAGACGTTAATGAGCATGTACGGCTTTACAAGTTTCGTGGGGCATGCTAGCTACTATCGATAGTTTGTGAAAAAATTTGCTATGATCGCCACACATTTGAAAAGGCTGACCCAAAAGGAGCCTTTTGAGTGGACCGACAGGTGTGAAGAGAGCTTCCAAAAGCTCAAGACTCTTCTGACTACAACACCTATTCTAGCACTGCCGGTGGAAGGTAAAGATTTCATCATTTATTGTGGCCTAAAGTTAATGGTGGGAAAAGTCCTAGTTATGCATTAGGATCTTAGGTTTGGCCTTGGGTTGATATTTTTGTTATAATCCCGGTTAGACCTTGTTTAGTGATCCTTGCATTAATTGCTTGTTTTAGATCAAGAACGAGTTGAAAGACTCCGGAAAGGGAAGACTCACGTGTCTTAGAAGTATTCAGGCTTGGTTTTGAGGCAGCCGATGGTTTGATTTCCTATTGTGTGATATATGTCAGTTAATTGCTTCATTGTATGCATGCATGTATGTGAATAGGAAATGTGAATCAAATCCAATGAAATGATTATGTGCGAACAATTAGATGCCCTGAACTTGTTACTTGGCTATGTGACTATATGCACTGTTCATTATGGGTGTGATTGTGACTGTGGTGTGCTGACTATACCGGGTGTCATGTTTTGACACATACGTTGTATCGGTGTCACGTTCCGACACATGTATATTGGATCGGGTGTCATGTTTCGAAAAACTAACAGTTTGGGTGTGGGTTCCATGAGAGGACCACTTGTGATTATTACATTCTTGTTGACTTGTCATTGATATTGCTCCTAAAATGATAATTAAATTATGTGTTCTTTATAAGTGTGTTTACTGTGTTGTAATTACTTTCTTATATTTCGCTTACTGGAGTAACAGCGTGATCCTACTAGTACACCGTGGTTTCGTGTATTGATACTGCACTTGCTTTTTCTTTGTTGAGTACAGGGCATCTTTAGGCGGCTACTGACAGACCTCAATCAGGAGATCATTGACTGAGACCGGATTCGTGGGTGAGCCAGTTCTTCCAGGCTACCTTGGATTCATCCTTAGTCTAGTCCATTCTTTTTGAGACTCGGACTAGAAGTTCAGACTTTTAACTTATGTTTAGTTTTTTCGGGGTTGTACCCCATTTTTCTTAGACTTGTTGATTAGTAGACTTTTGGTATAGTGACTTTCAGGTTCTAGGGGTTGAACTTCCACAAGGGTTATGATTAGTTGTTTTGTTAAACCTTTGGAGTTTATGGGAACTCCATATTTAATTCATCATTTAAACCTTCTTCAGTATTTTTAAATGCTTTAGTTTTGTTAACTTGTTTAGTCGGATTATAGTAGGGGTTCTCCCATAGAGGGGTTAGTGTGCGTGCCAATCATAGTAGTCTGGGTTGTGACAAAGTTGGTATCAGAGCCCTAGGTTTGTTGATCTTAGTGTTTCCTATCAATTTTCCTGGTATGCCTTTGGATAGGGATATAAATTTTTGCATTGACATGGAGCCCGATACTCACCCCATCTCCATTCCTCCTTATCGCATAGCTCTAGCAGAATTGGTAGAGCTTAAAGCTCAAATTCAGGAGCTTCTTGATAAAGGTTTTATCCATCATATTGTTTCCCAGTGGGGTGCTCCTATCTTGTTTGTTATGAAGAAGGATGGTAGTATGAGGATGTGCATAGACTATCGACAGTTGAATGGGGTCACCATTCGAAATAAGTACTCATTGCCTCAGATAGATGAAGTTTTTGACCAGTTGAAGGATGCATAAGTTTTCTCTAAGATTGATCTAAGGTCTAGATACAACCAGTTAAAGATTAGGCCTGAGGATGTATTAAAAATGGCATTCAGGACCCGTTATGGGCAATATGAGTTTTTAGTGATGTCGTTTGGGTTGACCAATGTGCTTGCAGCTTTCATGAGTTTGATGAATGTCGTGTTCAAATTATTCCTGGATTCGTTTGTTATCGTCTTTATTGATGACATTTTGGTGTATTCAAAGAGTAAGGAAGAGCATGTTGACCATCTTTGTATTATTTTTGGTGTCCTTGGGAAACAGAAGTAGTATGCCAAATTTTCAAAGTGTGAGTTCTGATTGACTTCAGTTGCCTTTATTGGGAATGTGGTTTCAAGGGAAGGGGTGATGGTAGATCCCTAAAAGATCGAAGCAGTCAAGAATTGGGTTCGGCCTAGCTTTGTGACTGAAGTTAGGAGTTTCGTGCGGCATGTTAGCTACTATCGACAGTTTGTGAAAAAATTTGCTACGATCGCCACACATTTGAAAAGGCTGACCAAAAAGGAGCCTTTCGAGTTAACCGACAGGTATGAAGAGAGCTTCCAAAAGCTCAACTCTTCTGACTACAACACCTATTCTAGCACTGCCGGTGGAAGGTAAAGATTTCATCGTTTATTGTGATGTTTCACATTCAGGTTTGGGTGTTGTGTTGATGTAGGATAAGAATGTCATAGATTATGCATCGCGGCAGCTGAAGGTGCATGAGAGAAACTACCCGACGCATGATTTTGAGTTGGTAGCGGTAGTGTTTGCTCTCAAAATCGAGCGGCATTATCTATATGTGTCAAGTGTGAGATGTTTATGGACCATCGTAGTTTACAACATGTATTCACCCAAAAGGACCTGAATCTGAGACACCGAAGGTGGATGGTGTTACTCAAGGATTATGATGTTACCATTCGGTATCATCCGGGTAAGGCTAACGTGGTGGCAGATGCATTAAGCCAGAAGACAGTGAGTAAGGGTAGTCTAGCTTGCTTGGGTGTGTCCAAGCGACCTTTGGCCAATGAGATTCAAACCTTGGAGTCTAAGTTCATGCAGTTGGGCATCTCAAAGAAAGGTGGGTGTTAGCCAGCATTGAGGTTAGACCAATATTCATTGAGGAAATCAAGGCCAAGAGTTTGAATGAGATAAAAAAAAAACAGTGTCTGGCAAGGCACAAGATATGGCTCTTGATGCGGGTGGTGTGCTCCGTTTTATAGGAATAATTTGTGTTCCCCGAGTGGATGACTTGATTCAGAAGATGTCGACAGAATCCCATGGTTCATGGTATTCCATTCATCCGGGTGTGACCAAGATATACCAAGATTTGAAGTGACTTTATTGGTGGTCTAGCATGAAGAAAGACATAGCTCAGTTTGTGGCTAAGTGCCAAAATTGTCAGCAGGTAAAGTATGAGCACCAAAGGCCTGCAAGTTTGTTTTAGCGAATGCCAATTCCTGAATGAAAGTGGGAAATAATAGCTATGGATTTTGCGGTTGGTCTTCCCAAGACCTTGGGGAAGTTTTACTCTATTTGGGTGGTGGTTGATAGACTGACTAAGTCAGCCCACTTCATTCCAGTCAGAGTAAACTATAATGCTTAGTAGTTGGCTAAGGTTTATGTGAAGGAGATAGTGAGGTTGCATGGGGTGCCCCTTTCCATCATCTCGAATTGTGGTACGCAATTCACATCCAAGTTTTGAGGGAAACTGTATGAGGAGTTGGGCACTCAACTCACTTTTAGCACAACCTTCCATCCACAGACGAATGGGCAGTCAGAAACAACTATTCAAGTGTTAGACAACATGTTGAGGTCATGTGTGATTGACTTTGGAGGGCATTGTGATGCGTTCCTACCTTTGTGTGAGTTCTCTTATAATAAAAGTTAACACTCTAACATTGACATGGCAGCGTTCGAGGCACTTTATGGGACGGGATGTAGATTACCCATAGGGTGGTTCGAGGTTGGAGATGTGAAATATTTGAGGGTTGAGTTGGTGAATGATTCTCAAGATAAGGTAAAAAGCATCCAAGCTAAGGTTCTAGCAACTCAGAGTCGACATAAAAAATATGTAGACTGTAAGGTAAGGGACATGACATTCCAAGTTGGTGAGAAAACTCTTCTAAAAGTGTCACCCATAAAGGAGGTGATGAGATTCGACAACAAGGGAAACCTTAGTCCTCGATACATCAGGCAATTTGAAATTCTTGACTGTGTATGGCCAGTGGCTTATAAGTTGTCTTTACCGCCTAGCCTATCTGGAGTTCACCCAGTGTTCCTTGTGTCTATGTTGAAGAGGTATCATGGGGACAGAGATTATATCATAAATTGGGACTAAATTTTGTTTGACAAAGACCTTCAGTATGGGGAGGAACCGGTTGCAATTCTTGATCTCGATGTCCGAAAGCTGAGGACCAAGGAGATAAAGTCTGTAAAAGTTCAATGGAAGCATAGTCTAGTTGAGGAAGCTACATGGGAAACTGAGAAGGACATGTGAGACAAGTATCCCCTGTTGTTTGATGATTTATGTACTACTCTACTCTTGCCTTAGCAAGTTCTCCTAGTTTATCACTCAGGGACTAGTGATGGGTAAATTGTTACCTATTGTAATGACATGTTCTAGTCATTATGAAAAAGTTAATGGGGAAAGAATTTGGGCCAGAAAACTTTCGAGTAGTAACTTGGAAATTTCTCGCTTAGGCCAGACTTGGATGAAATCTGAGTTAGGTGAGGTCTAGGAAAATCTAGTAATGGTTGGGGAATTTAATTATGAGTTTGATTACATGAGTGGATAGCCAAGACTTTACAAAATCGAATTCGGGCAAGTAGAACTCCCGAAACTTATCTTGGGTGAAAGGGTAGTTTTAGAACGTCACGGGTTGAAATTGTGTTGCGAAATAGGAGCTTGGAACTCAAAATCCGAGTTTGTGTCTCCGTGAAAGACACCGGGGGGGATTAATCCCTATATAGCGGGGCCGCTGTGGTGGTATAAGGCTGCTGTGGTGGGATAGTCGCGACTGAAATTGGGGAAAAACCCAGAAACGTTATTTTCTACAAAACTTTGTTCTTGAGAGCTAAAGGACGATCCAAGGCAATTTCCTGTTAGATTTCCACAAATTCTAGCGCTAAAGGTAATATAAGTACTACCCTAATCAATATTTCGATTCATAGGACTTAGAATCTTGGGTATTTATCGTTGGGGAAGGGTTTTGGCTTGAAGTTAATGGTGAAAAAAAGCCCTAGTTAAGCAATAAGATATTGGATTTGGCCTTGGTTTGATATTTTTTGTTATAATTCGGGTAAATTAGACCTTGTTTAGTAGTCCTTGCATTAGTTGCTTGTTTTAGATCAAGAACCAGCTGAAAGACTCTAGAAAAGGAAGGCTCACGAGCCTTAGGAGTATTCAGGATTCGTTTCGAGGTGGGTGATGGTTTGATTTCTTGTTGTGTGATATATGCCGGTTAATTACTTCATTTTATGCCTGCATGTATGTGAATAGTAAATGTGAATCGAATCTAATGAAATGATTATGTGCGAACAATTACATGCCCTGAACCTGTTACTTGTCTATGTGACTATATGCACTGTTCATTATGGGTGTGATTGTGACTATGGTTGTGCTGACTGGATCGAGTGTCACGTTCTGATACATACATTGGACCGGATGTCACATTCCAACACGTATATTGGATCGGGTGTCACGTTTGGACACATGTACATTGGACCGGATGTCACGTTCCGACACACTAACAGTTTTGGTGTGGGTTCCATGAGAGGACCACTTGTGATTAATTCATTTTTGTCTACCTGTTATTGATATTTGGGAATTGTATATTGCTCCTAAAATGATAATTGAATTATGCGTTCTATATATGTGTGTTTACTGTATTGTAATTACTTGCTTATATCTCCCTTATTGGAGTAGTCGCGTGATCCTACCAGTACACTGTGGTTTCATGTACTGATACTGCACTTGCTCTTTCTTTCTTGAGTACAGGGCATCTTCAGGCGGCTTCTGACAGACCTCAGTTAGGAGATCATTGACCGAGATCGGATTTGAGGGTGAGCCAGCTCTTCCAGGCTGCCTTGGATTTATCCTTAGTCTAGTCCATTCTTTTCAGACTCGGACAAGTTCAAACATTTTACTTATGTTTAGTTTTTCGGGGTTGTAACCCCTTTTACTTAGACTTTTTGATTTGTAGAGTTTTGGTAATGTGACTTTCAGGTTCTAGGGGTTGAACTTTTGCAAGGGTTATGATTAGTTGTTTTGTTAAACCTTCGGAATTTGTGGGAACTCCATATTTCATTCATCATTTAAACCTACTTCCGTATCTATAAATGCTTTAGTTTCATTAAGTTGCTTAGTCGGATTGTAGTAGTGGTTCTCCAACCGGGGGGATAGTGTGGGTGTCAATCACGGCGGTATGGGTCGTGACATTTTTGTATCAGTTTCCACTTATTGATAAGTCTTCAATTTCCAAAAAAAAAAAAAAACAGAATAATGATTATGTTTTATCAAAAAAGAAAGAAGATTGAAGATCATATATTTGTTCTCTGTTTTATATTTGTGCTATTACAAAATGAATTTAAAATGCATTTTCAATTGATTCATCCCTCTTTTTATGTGTATGTATTATTTTTATCCACATAATAAAATTATAATTTTGATTTCTTAAGGGAGAAATACTTCTAGGACTTTATCACCGACTGAAGAATTCTCCTCCATACAGGTAAATCTCGAAACTTGTGAGCTTTTATTTTCTTTTTTGTTATATCTTTTAAATTATAAATAAAATCTAAATTGTGAGGATTGCTATTATAATTCTTATGAAAAATATATTCTCATTTAAAATCAACTCATGTCGTTAGTAATTCAAGTGCATTGAGAAGGTATGCAATTCTATTAACCTTAAAAGTATTTAATTTGTATTCAATTAAATCATCTGAAGAAAAAATACTTATATTTGATCATTCTTGCTTATAATGATGTTGGAGTCATAAAACAAGAAGAAATATGTAATTTTTTTAATTTTGTCATTATATTATTTAACTTAAATAATATACATCCATTCAGAAAATTCTAATGTGCTACTAATTATCATTATATTGACCGTAGCTGTTTGAAAAGTGCTTGATAGATAATTTTCATAACATTTCTTCATTAAAGGTTTATTTATTCTTTTGTTTGTTTATTTGTCAGAAAAAAAAAACTTCTTATTTAGGTGCACATATATTTAAGGATTAATGTATTTCTTTTTTTTCACAAAAGAAAGAATAACACAACTTCAGATCAATTTCTTAGAATAAAATTGCAGTTGAAATTGAGACAAAAAAAAATCAATTTCTACGTATGTCTTTGTAAAAAAAAATACGACAATAAGATAATTACATGCACAATTTTAAAAATACTTCATGTTTTTATGTTTACTTTGTTGTCATCTACTCATCCTTTTAAGTATTATTAATTATTTTTTCTATTGCATATTTTGAACTTCCAAAATATATGAAAAAATAAACCCTGTACAACTCCTTTTTGTTTTATCTCTTATATAATTTTTTTTATTTTTTAACATCTTAGACTTATCATTAAGAAAATATAAAATTTGAATCAAAAGTTAATTGCATTCTTTTAGATAAGATGGTTACAACAATTCTTATCAATATCAATATTTGAATTATTATCTTTACAAAAATTATATAGAAAAAGGAATTTGAAATAAAAAAATATATTAAATAAAAAAATAACTTCGTGAAACGGTTCCACTAATTAAGGCAATTTTAAAGGATACATGTGAAATCACATACGTTTTAGTCAATTATTTAGAATTTCATACTTTTTAGAATAAAAAAATAAAACACAAATGCCATTAATACCTAAAATGTTCCGTGTATATATTTAATATAAATATAGTAGAGAGGATTAGAAGAAGACAAGAAATTTAAAATAACATTTACGTGTAAAAAACAATCATTGAAATTCTCTTGTGGTAAAAATAATAGAAACATTTTTGTGGTGGTTTGTGTAAGCAAAGGAATTGTCACGATCCGAGCCTACACCCTGGACGTGGCAGACACTCAAGAACCATTGCTGGTCCCCAAGTGAATCCTCATTGTGGCTGACTATAAGCGGAGGACTAACTTGAGCATACATAAGCATCAATTTGAAAGAAACGTTTGAAATAATTTATTGAACCTCCAAACTTTATTGAATATACTCAGTATGAAACATAAGTTTCAAATAAAATATCTAAAACTGAAAGACTCTCCAAAACTATCTATCAATGAAGCCTCTACTATTAAGGAAGGTTGCCAGGACAAGACCCACGACACCTCAAAACTACTAACTGGAAAGTAACTGTGAAGTCCTCTGGAATATAAAGAGGCTCACCAAAGCTAACTGGAGTGTAGAATGATCTCCACAAAGCGTCTGTTGATAATCATGAACACCTATATCTGCATCATAAAAGGATGCAGGTCAAAAGACATCAGTACATGGAATGTATGAGTATGTATTATAGCTGAATAACAAATAACTAAAAGAAAAGATTGCAATAGATAACAACATACTCAAGTTGAATGTAAAGAAATAAAATAGTTAAATCATTTAAAGCTTTACAAAATACTTTCTCATCTCTGAACTCAACACAATAAGTGATATAATAAAAACACACTTTTAACTTTATTTGGGAGATTCTCTAACCGACAACTATCACTATGAGCTAGTGATGATACATCGTCTCGCCTACGCTGCCAGAATTGTCCTATACCTTGCCGTAGTATAGAACACCTCAACTAAGTGGATCCACTAAGCATGCTTAAAAGCAATAAGGAATCATCTAAAAAGTATGACCCTTTACCCATGTTGGCATACATGGTTATGGGGGCTGTGAGTTGTTTGAACTCTCCCCCATATCTGTACTCAATACTACTCTTAATAATATATACTCATGCTCATATGTTTAAACAAAATATAACTCTTCCTCTGATTTGAGATAATTGCTCAAACTACCCTCTTAAAAGAAGTAATTGCTCTTGAAATAACATTTGAACTCATAACTCATTTAGAAATCTCAGTTTCTCTTTTATCAATGTAAAAATTGATGTCTCTGGGAATACATAGTCCCCTTATACTAATACTTGAAAACTCTTTATAAAAAAAAATTCAAAATCATATTATAATATGACCATTGATGACTTGGGAAGTCATACTGCATAATCATTGATGATATATCTAGATACCATACTCCTTAAATATTCATGGCATACTCGATTGTCATACTAATCATGTTTTAGAAACTCTTTTCTCAAAACTCATCTTTACTTTCTCAAAACTCAGTTTACGAACTCAAGTGTTGACTTTAAAAAAAGCTTTTCAAAATAGGGTTCATGCTAAAATATAGACATGAACAAATCAACTCAAGGATCTCAATAACAATATAAAAACTCAATAATTAGGAATATTTTTTTAAAAAAAGAAACATGAACTCAACAACTCAA